TCGAAGCATCCTAGGTGTATATGACTTTCTTCTTGCAAACGAATCCAGTCGGAGTTACATTAAAAATTGTCTTTGATCTTTCAAGCTGTTTAATGCCACTCAGCAGGTGTTGCATTGCTGCAGTCCAAAAGAAGTTAAAAATCGCCCATCCTTATGCGTCATATACACCTAGGATGCCTCGGGGGTGAGTAAAACGCAGCCTAATTTTCATTTTTGGGTGAACTAACCCTTTAACTGCTTCCAAATCCATGCTGTTAATAAAATCATTCTTGAAAAATTTTGCAGTTACAAATAAAAAAATATATAACAACATAATTACATAAACAGTGAATAATTGTACAAGGTGAATTAAGGTTTAAACAAATAACCTTTTACATGCAGGATATTTGCGTTGTAAGAATGTACAGGAATACTTCAGATATAAAACCACTGACTCGTTAGGTGATGTTTTCTCATTGAAATCGTACGATTTACTCTTAATTCAATAGAATGTATGGGAATACTAGGGAATAGCAGTACCGGTTCTCTATTAGAGATCAGTGGTGTATACTTATAATAATGGATTACTACGGTCACGTGGACTTAACAGACACACGCACGTCCTCAAGACACTTCAGATTTTCTCTAATATAATGCTATAATTTACCTCAAACATCTCATTTTCATAATCCTCGGAAGTCAAACTAGATAAAATTAGATTAATCAGACCTAAAGTACAAGAGAGATCTCGCTTCTGGATTGCAAAATAACGAAAACGCATCAGTGACGAATGTTTTGATATTATCGCGTGTAGAAACGGTTGGCAAGATACAGTTAGCTTGATAGTATTTACGCAGCAATAATAAATTGTAAGCGTATTTCCTTAATTTCCCCAGCACTACAAGCAGAACAGTTAACATTAGAGCTTATCGATACTACATTTTATAATAATTCAGCCCCAGGCCCGTTTAATACCGGGTTCAGGTATTCATTCCTACTTACAAGAGAAGCAAATAAAGATCAGTCACAAAGCTATATGACAGTATTTCTTGCATCTGCATTCTCTAAAATACACCATAAGTGGAAGAATAACTCAGTCATTTTAAAAACAACAATGAAGAACAAATTAAAATTAAATCTCAGTCTCTCTTAAAGGTGTTACAGCCTCTTCTGCAGCTTCCTGAAAAAAGAACTGTTTGTAAAAAGCTTCTACTTTCCTTCATGAAAGAGTAAGCATACTACAGGTGACACATACAGGTGCATCTCAATAAATTAGAATGTTGTGGAAAAGTTCATTTATTTCAGTAATTCAACTCAAATTGTGAAACTCGTGTATTAAATAAATTCAATGCACACAGACTGAAGTAGTTTAAGTCTTTGGTTCTTTTAATTGTGATGATTTTGGCTCATATTTAACAAAAACCCACCAATTCACTATCTCAACTAATTAGAATATGGTGACATGCCAATCAGCTAATCAACTCAAAACACCTGCAAAGGTTTCCTGAGCCTTCAAAATGGTCTCTCAGTTTGGTTCACTAGGCTACACAATCATGGGGAAGACTGCTGATCTGACAGTTGTCCAGAAGACAATCATTGACACCCTTCACAAGGAGGGTAAGCCACAAACATTCATTGTCAAAGAAGCTGGCTGTTCACAGAGTGCTGTATCCAAGTATGTTAACAGAAAGTTGAGTGGAAGGAAAAGGTGTGGAAGAAAAAGATGCACAACCAACCGAGAGAACCGCAGCCTTATGAGGATTGTCAAGCAAAATCGATTCAAGAATTTGAGTGAACTTCACAAGGAATGGACTGAGGCTGGGGTCAAGGCATCAAGAGCCACCACACACAGACGTGTCAAGGAATTTGGCTACAGTTGTCGTATTCCTCTTGTTAAGCCACTCCTGAACCACAGACAACGTCAGAGGCGTCTTACCTGGGCTAAGGAGAAGAAGAACTGGACTGTTGCCCAGTGGTCCAAAGTCCTCTTTTCAGATGAGAGCAAGTTTTGTATTTCATTTGGAAACCAAGGTCCTAGAGTCTGGAGGAAGGGTGGAGAAGCTCATAGCCCAAGTTGCTTGAAGTCCAGTGTTAAGTTTCCACAGTCTGTGATGATTTGGGGTGCAATGTCATCTGCTGGTGTTGGTCCATTGTGTTTTTTGAAAACCAACGTCACTGCCCCCGTTTACCAAGAAATTTTGGAGCACTTCATGCTTCTTTCTGCTGACCAGCTTTTTGAAGATGCTGATTTTATTTTCCAGCAGGATTTGGCACCTGCCCACACTGCCAAAAGCACCAAAAGTTGACTGGCCAGCAAACTCACCAGACCTGAACCCCATAGAGAATCTATGGGGTATTGTCAAGAGGAAAATGAGAAACAAGAGACCAAAAAATGCAGATGAGCTGAAGGCCACTGTCAAAGAAACCTGGGCTTCCATGCCACCTCAGCAGTGCCACAAACTGACCTCCATGCCACGCCGAATTGAGGCAGTAATTAAAGTAAAAGGAGCCCCTACCAAGTATTGAGTAAATGAACATACTTTCCAGAAGGCTAACAATTCACTAAAAATGTTTTTTTTTTATTGGTCTTATGAAGTATTCTAATTTGTTGAGATAGTGAATTCGTGGGTTTTTGTTAAATGTGAGCCAAAATCATCACAATTAAAAGAACCAAAGACTTAAACTACTTCAGTCTGTGTGCATTGAATTTATTTAATACATGAGTTTCACAATTTGAGTTGAATTACTGAAACTAATGATCTTTTCCACGACATTCCAATTTATTGAGATGCACCTGTATGCATTATAAGACAATTGAACATAATATGAAACTTATAAGAAAGCCAAATTATATGCTAGAATAAAACTTTCTGACATTGTTCTTTGGGGAGGAACTCCATCTTTGATTTGATCTGAATCTCACAGTAGAATCTGCTGGTTTTGAAGATGAACTTTATTCACTGTGAAACTTTAGATAATGTTTCTTTGTCATGTCACTTGTAATGTCTGGTTAGGCACAGTGTGAACACTTGTAAGGTTTTTCTCCAGTGTGGATCCTCTCGTGTGTTTTTAGATGTGTTGACCAACTGAATCTCTTGTCACAGTGTGAACACTTGTAAGGTTTTTCTCCAGTGTGGATCCTCTCGTGTCTTTTCAGATGTGCTGCCTGACTGAATCTCTTGTCACATTGTGAACACTTGTAAGGTTTCTCTCCAGTGTGAATCCTCTCATGCAGTTTTAAAGTGTTTGCTGAAGTAAAAGTCTTTTCACACTCAAAGCACATGTAGTCTCTCACACCAGTGTGTGTTTTCTGATGTACTTTTAAACTTTGTAGACATGAAAAACTCTTTCCACACAAATAACATGAATGCGGCTTCTCATTTGTATGAATTTTCAGGTGTTTCGTCAGGTCTGATGCCCTCAAAAATGATTTGCCACATTGATCACATGTGTAAAGTTTCTCTCCAGTGTGGATCATCATGTGTTCCTTAAGATGTGCTGAT